CTACTGAAGTGCACGCTACCTTGCGACTTTGACCATTTGGGGCTTGTACGTCTCCAGGAGGGCAAGAAGTTTCCTCATTGTTCTGCCTGTTTCAATAATGTCCTAGAGGGGGAAGCAACACAAGGCACAGAATTATAACCAGGCTATGGAATTCAGGGCGTTGAATGTGGTGGGGGCAATGGAAAGGAAGTGGAAAACGCAGTATTTCATAAAACTAATATTACCGGCAATAAGTGGTAGTACATCATCCTCCCAGATCAATCATCTCTCCACAACAATAAACTGGCTTCCCCCCGGCATTCCTTCATTTAACAGTTTGGGTGTCATTCTTAGCTTAGCAGTTCTAACCCTGGAGTTTGACAGTTTTAGTCTTGCATTCTACCTCCCCAGTCAAAAGGAAAACGCAATGTTAGTTTTTGCTTGAAAGACCCTAAAATAATAATCCATACATTATTTTAAACAGCTTTATCATATTTTGCATTTTGCTTGAAACAAATAGTTAATTGCAAAACCTAAGGCAGTTTAGCCTGGGCTGTGACAGATGTTAATTTTAAATCCTGGTTTACTGATCACTCTCAGCTCATCTTTTTTCACCTCTTTCAAATTCTACAACCCTCAACACCCCACCATTTGGACTGGTGTAATCCAAAGCTTTTTTGGCCTTCAATCAGGGTGACACGGTGGAGCAGTGTTGCCTCACAGCACTAGGGACATGGGTTTGATTCCCACCTCGGGCAACCGCGTGGAGTTCGCACATTCTCCAGTGTCAATGTGGGCTTCCTCCAGGTGCTCCAGTTTCTTACCAGTCCAAAGACGTACAGGTTAGGTGGATTGGTCATGCTAAATTGCTCTGTCATGTCCAGGCTAGGTGGGCTAACCATGGTGAATGCAGGATTGCGGTGATAGGGTGGGGTGCCCTTCAGAGGCTTGGTGCAGACTCGACAGACCAAATGGACTCTATCTGCACTCTAGGGATTCTGTGATTCAATGAACAGCAGCCATACCATCGGCCATCTGCGCTCTATACTCTGGAAAAGTCTTGCTAAACATCCCCTTCTCTCTCCTGCTTAAAGGATTTTAAAAAACGTAACCTTGTCTCAGACTGTGCCAACTCTGATTGCACGCCAGAGAAACACCTTGGGATTTGTTACTGTATTAACGGCTCTATACAAATAGAAGTTCCTGGTGCCAATAATGTTATCTGACACCATAACACTTGGAGCAGAAGTATGCCATTCAGCCTATCGAGTTGGCTCCACAGATGACTGATGTGATAACCCTCAACTCCACTTTCCTGCCTTATCCTCATAACCCTCAATTCCCTTACTTTTTAAATGTCTGTTTGTCTCAACCTTGAAGATTCTTAACAGCCAAGCTTCAACAGCCCTCTGTGGTAAAGAATTCCACAGATCCAGAGAGAAATTCCACTTTGTTTGTACTAAATGGGGAACACCTTACTCAGATCATACGCTCTGGTCCTAGATCCTCCCACAGGGAAACAGTCTCTCCCTATCCAACCTGTCAAATCTCCAAAGAACCTGGTGTCATTTTTTTCCCCTGGTTAAAAACATCATGGTCTGTTAGAAACTTAATAAAACATAAGGCCACAATGTGAGAATACACAATTGAAAAGCATTTCAGGCAACAGCCTTTAGGTGGTGAGAGAAAGGAGAAAATTAAAAAAGGGGAAAAAAAAAAGGATGGATTTGTAATAGTAAAACTGGAAGGCTGCTTTTCTCTCCCAGTTCTCCACATCCTTCAAGCAATAGTATACTGCAACAAAATGAAATTGGAAAAACATTTATTCACCATGAACTCAAAAGATAGCTACATATTTTGCAGGTTTGGGGAGGGAAGCTCAGTGCAGAGGGCCTAAAATAAAATCAAGGGATTGCCTCTGATGTTAAAACAATGAAAATTGAGGACATGCAAGTTGGACGAGCCCAGACATAAAAAATCACAGAATTGTTACAGTGCAGAAGGAGACCATGCAGCCCAACATATCTGCACTGGCACTCTGGGTATTTTGACTTGGTGCCAATCATCCACTTTGTCCCACAACAAAGAAACAATATCAGCCAATGCCCTCCTGAATGCCTTGACCTAACTCCAGAGTGCAGCGAATGCTGGGGCATTCAAGGAGGAGTTGTTTTTTTCAAAATTAGTAATGGATTGAAGGGCTATGGAGAGCACGCATTAAGTGGATTTGAGGCAGAGATGAAATCAGTCACAATTATATCAAATGATGGAGCAGGGTTGAGGGGCTGAATTGCCTACTCCTGCTCTTAGCTCTAATGAACATGCGTCCAACCACAATTCACGATATCGCATTCCAATTATTACGAAGTTGGATACAGCATTCATGAAATGGAAGCCAGGAAGTTAGAATTTGTTGGTAAAAATGATCGTGGGGGAGAAAGAAAAGAATGCAGTGGTCCCTTTAAGAGGTTGCGCTTTGTCGGTGCTTGGAAGTTTATAAATGCAGGTGCACAGACAATGCCCAAATGGAAACATTTTGCATAGAACAGCCAAACAGCAGTTTTCCAAGACAAGTTTGAAATTGGCCAATTATTTTAAACCAAGCACCTAGATACAGAAAGCCAATTGAATTTAAATCTGATGGTGTTGACAACCTGAAACCAATCATATTACAATAATTTGATTATGTCATTACAGGTACATAAGATGAGGGCATTTGGAAAATTGTGGAGAGTCATCTGCCATTTGTCAAAGATTAGCATCATTTAGCTCTCAGAGGAAGCCCATCTAATTAATCAAAGGTGCCATGGTATTTTAGCTTAAAGTCCTCACTGAAGAAATTAGACAGAAAAAAAACCATCCCTGACAGCAGAATTAGCAGAAAAAGGTGCTTGTGAAGAGAGTGGAGAAGACAGAATATTCCAGACGATCTCTCCAAGTTCGTACCGACCAAGTTATAATTCATTCTTCTCTTATTAATTGGGTTTATTAAATTGGACGTGTTTATTTGAACAGTATTCCAGTAGCAATTAGAACAATTAGGAAATAGTTAGAAGTCTCAAGGGGAATTGTTGATTTGTTAGTAATTGTTAATTGGTTCATTGTTGGGTTAAATAAATAAATTGTTTCTTGTTACTTGTAAAGTGGAGATCAGGGATTTTCTTTTAACCACTCTTAATAGATTACTCGGAGAAAGGAGAGTTTCTCTGGGTGTTTCGGGGGCAATTATTAGAAGGGAACCTCTAATCCCATCATAGCAGATTGGGGCTTGTGTGTTGGTTTAACTGTCAGAGGGGTTCGGCTATTCCCCCTCAATAACACAATCCCGAACCATTGTGTGAAAGTGCTCTTTTATCTCGTACTGACTTCTTTCGCAAAGCAGTTTGAAAATGTTCCCTCTGGTTCTCGATCCTTTTACAAGCAGGAACAGTTTCTCCCTAAATACTCTGTCCAGACCTCTATTGTTAGGTTTAACATAGTTTACCAAAATAGTGCGGGATGTGAAGGGATTATAAATCAAAGATTCAATTTTAAAATTGATAGTACACAAAAGTCTATTTTCATAACAAAACCAGGAGATCTGTAACATTTTAGAAATCTTAAAACATATGCCAGATATTAGGAAATGAGAACGTAAGTGACTTACCTCAACTATTAGAACATTCTAGATCACATGACAGTAGACAGGGGAAAAGAAGAGGAGAGATTATAACAATTTGTTTTCATCAACTTTATACTACATGGTCTGTAATCAGCTTGTACATCATTACAAAGTACAGCCGAATGAACTGACAAATCGAGTAGCTTTGTGAAGAGTGTGATAGTTTTGGCATTAGCTTAGTTGACTCCAACCAAATCCATCTTTATCGATCAATCTTTTCAGTGCCTCTACCTCCTATTTTTTTTAAAAAACATATCTTGACTATGGTCAAGGCTGCCTCCCACAATGTTGTTTTATATCATTCAAACAAACTATTTTCCTTTCAACAGCCCCAAAACTGCTCGCAATATTCCAAAAATGCAGTCTAACCAGAGCCTTATATAATCTCTGCTTATGTATTCTAGCCTTTGTGAAGCCTTCACATTTTCCCATATTGAATTCCAACTGCCCACTCCTCTAAACTGTCCAAGTCCTTCTGCAACCTCCCCACTTCTTCAACATTACTTATCCCTCCATCTATCTTTGTCATCTGCAAACTTAGCAACAATATCCTCCATTCCTTTGTCCAGATTGTTAATGTATACCATGAATACTTGTGGTCTCAACTGACCCCTACAGAACTCCACTACTCCCCTTTATCCTCACTCTCTGCCTTCTGCCAATCAGCCAATCCTCTATCCATGCCAGTACCATGGTCTCTTATTTAGCTGCTTCCCATGCAGCACCTTGTCAAAGGCCTTTTGGAAATCCAAGTAGATAATGTCTACTGGTTTTCCTTTGTCTAACTTGCTCATCACCTCGTCAAAAGAATTCGAACAGATTTATCAGGAACAACCTTTCATTGACGAGTCTGTGCAACCTCAGCCCTATTTTACCACGCACTTCCAAACACTCTGCAATCTCATCATTAATAATACATTCTAAAATCTTACTAACAATTAAGGTCAGGCTAACCAGCCCACTGTTTCCTGTCTTCTGCACTCCCCCCCACTTCTTAAATTGGAGTTTTACATGAGCTAGTCTCAGTCCTCCAGGATTTTCCCTGACTCCAGGTGATTCCTGGAAGACCACCAATGTCTCCACAATCTCCTCAGCTTTCTTCTTCAGAACCCTGGGGTGTAGTCCATCTGGTCAGGCTGATTTCTCCACCTTCAGACCTTTCAGCTTCCCTAGCATCATCATCTTAGAGATGGCCACTACACCCACCTCTGCCCATTGACTGTCAAATTCTGTATGCTGCTGGTATCTTCCACTGTGAAAACTGATGCAAAGTGTTACCCATTACTATCTCTCTAGCCTCACCTTCCAGCAGTCCAATATCACAGTTGCCTCACTTACCTTTAAAATGTCTTTTAAAAACGCCTTGCAATCTTTAATACTTCTAGCTAGCCTACCCTCTTATTTAATAGTCTCCCCCTTGTTTTTTTTTAGTTGTTCTCTGCTGGTTTTTAAAAGGATTTCCATTCCTCTGGTTTTCCATTAATCGTCATCGCATTGCCTGGTTTTCTTTTGTTTTTATGCTGTCCTCTACTTCCCTGGTCAGCCACGGTTGCCTCATCCCCCCTTAGTATGCTTCTTCCTCCTGCTGTGCCTCCAAAATTACCCTCAAACTCCTGCCACTGCTGCTCCATCTTCTGTGCTAGGCTCCCCTTCCAATCAACTCTGGCCAGCTCCTCTCTCATGTCTTTGTAGTTACCTTTACTCAATGTTAATACCGTTCCATCTAATTTCAGCTGTTCCCTCTCGAACTACAGGGTGAATTCTATCATATTATGGTCACTGCTCCCTTAGGGTTCCTTCACCTTCAGCTCCCAAAACAAATCTACCTCATAACACATCACCAAACCCAGGATTACCTGTTCCCTAGTGGGCTGTACCACAAGCTGCTCCAAAAAAATAAAGAAACACATTTTGCAGACATTCCACAAATTATTTTCCTTGGGATCAACATGACTTCCAGTCCACTTGCATCTTGAAGTCTCCCACGATTATTGTAATAGAAAGTGCCTATCTCCTGGTTTATTTTAGTCTCCGCATCGTGCTAGGAGGCCTGTACACAATTCCCACCAGGGGCTTTTATCCTTTGTGGTTCCTCAACTCTACCTACATAGAATCTTGCCTTCTGACTTTATATCACTTTTTGTTATTGATGTAATTTGATTTCTTTCTAAGGCGGCAACCCGGCCCCTCTGCCCATTTGTCTGTCCTTTCAATAGGACATATATCCTTGGATATTAAGTTCCCAGCCCAGATCCCCTTGCAGCCACGTGATATCCACAACATCATATCATTCCATACACTGATCTATTCCTTGTTCTGGAAACTTTAACCACTGATGAGCCCTCTCCACCTTTAACTTTTTCCATAATTATCCATCAACTGAACAGCCCCTCCAGCGCCCACACCACTGTTTAGTTTAGATCTTTATCCAGCTCTACTTACACAATTCACCAGGACACTGGTCCCACCATGATTCAAGTGGAACCCATCCCATTGCAACAGCTCCCTCCTTCCCCAGGACTGGTGCCAATGTCGCATGAAATCGAACCCATTTCTCACCCACCAATCTTTGAGTCTTGTGTTTACCTCTCTAATCTTGTTGACCCTGTGCAAATTTTCTCATGGCTCAGGTAGTAATCTAGAGGAAATTACCACCTCTTCGGTTCTGCCTTTTAATTTAGCCCAAAGCTCCTCACGCTCCCTCAGCAGAACCTCTTTCCTTTGACTATCTATATTGCTGGTATCTACATGGACCATGACAACTGGATCTTTCCGCTCCCACTCCAAGTTCCTCTGCAGTCTGATGAGATATCTTGAACCCAGTCACCAGGCAGGCAACACAGCCTTCAGGACTCGTGATCATGGCTACAAGAGAACAGTGTCTATTCTCCTGACTATACTATCCTCGATTACAACTACACTTCTTGTTTGTCCCCTCTCGAATGGCTCCCTGTACCACAGTGCTATGGGTCACTTTGCTCATCCTCCTTACAGCCTCTGCTCTCACCCAGAGGGAGCAAAGCTCTCAACCCTGTTAGATAAGCTTAAGGGTTGAGGCTCCTTCAGCAGTACCTCCTGGATTTCTCTACCTGCCTTACTAGTAATCACACCCTCCCGTCCCCGATCGCGGACTGGATTCGAGGTAGTTAATCTAAGGGGTGTGACTGTCTCCTGAAACACAGCATACAGGTAACTCTCCCCTCCCTGACATGCCACAGCATTCAAAGCTCAGATTAAAAGATCATCTCTGAGCTGGAGTTCCTCAAGCAACCAACGCTCGCTATTGATGCGGTCACTATGAAACGCAATGGGCTTCACCAGCTCCCACATCACGCAGGTACAACACTTCACTTGACCCTGCATCTCCATTTTATTTCCTTCGTTCTTAATTTGATTTAAAGAAAGAGAATTCCTACTGGTCTTTTAGTTTGTAACCTGTAAATAGCTCCCCTGTTTTTCCTTCAAACCAAAAGTAACCGCTAACAGTCAGTCAAATTAGAAGCTATTACCAACCAATGAACTTACGGTTTTCCTGTAATGCAACTCTCTCTCTCGTGCTGGGCCCCAACTTATTTTGTAAAAAAAAAACTTTATAGCTATGAACTATAGATAAGTACATGAACAAGAAATGTTTGGAGGGATATGGGCCAAGTGCAGGCAGATGGAACATGTTTAGTTTGGGATTATGGTCAGCATCGACTGGTTGGACTGAAGGGTCTGTTTCCGTCCTATATGGCTGTATAAAAGTCGAGAATTAAATGTTCACCCACCTACCCACTAACACACATTGCTTCATTCAACCATCAGGGGAAACAAAAAAGCTTAAAAGGTTCAAAAGGTAGAACCAAAAATCTAAAATTCACCCAACTCCAGCTGGGCTGGTCAGCTACAAAAGGTTCTGAAGTCACTGGAGGAGAGTGGAGGGCAACGTGCACAAAGGCTAGAGAGTTTGAGGGATAGAGCATACTGAGGAAGAGGTACCAGGCTAGGGTATTTATCAATAGCAATGTCACACCTGATGATGGAAGGATTATGAAAAATAGTTTAAATATCATTTTTTGGAGTTTGGATTTCAAATTAGTGGCATATGGCTGTTGGCTACTTCTGTGAAGCATTTCCTTTAAAAAGAGAACATAACATCAGACAATCCTTCTGAAACAGTGACATTATCCAGTACATGTCAGACAACAGGTAACTGCAAAACCCTGGATCAATAATAGAACAAGATGTTTATACTGTGGTGTTTATGAACAGTAGTATAAAAAGGCAAGACCGTTAGTACTTTTCCCTGGTTCAGAAGAATCTAGGATCAGTATTTTTTTTAATTCAATTTAGCAGATAGACTTTTCACAAGCAAAGTGGAGGAAGGGATAAAGGGTAGGTGTTGAACATAGAGTAATCAGATCAGTCATTTTTTGACTGGCAAAGGAGGCTCAAGGGGATATGTGGCATACTCATGCTCTCAATTTGCATATTTGGCATTTGAATGTTAAAAACAATAGCAATATCTGCTGGATATTAAATTGCACTTTGCTGGGTACTGCTCGGGAACTCTCAGCCTGTCGCAATATGCACAGCAGTCAGTCAGTCGTGTGCATGCACACCCTGCACACTAAAATATAGTTAAATTATTGTGGCACCAATGGAGAGTATAATACCAACCTTTCCAGCCAACATGCACAGGTCATCCCCTCCAATAACTTTCACCTCCTCTACAGTCTGGTCATTCTTTACAAAAGACAGAAAAGGGACATAGTAATTTTGAAGGAATAATAGATGAAAGATCAACACACACTAAAAGCATTCACTTGGATGTCACCAGGAATTAACTCAGTTCCCAGTTTGAAGTTATTCAAACCTACTGTGGATTTGAATCCATTGTGGACTTTGTTTTGTGTTTGCATTGTAATTTCACTATTTACTGCTTTGTTGCACTTCACATTTCTACATTTCATACAGATACTTGTTGCTCAAGTCCCCCAGGTTCAGTGGGAAAGGATCAACATTATGAAGAGAGCTTAGTGCGAGATCATTTAAATCAACAGAGAGTTGGACCATTATTAATCCTCTGGTATGCACCACTGCTTAAGGAGCTAGCTGTGTGCTCTCCTCTCCCAGCACCCCTTGTTGTCTCTCTTTCCTCCTCACCACATCCCACCCCCAGTGCCCTACCAACACCCTCTCTCTCTGCCATGAAGCTATACACCCAGCAGCAAGGCCCCAGTTTAATGATTTAGCTGGTCTTGCTAAAGAAACTGGTAGGAGGTAATACGACAGGCTTTAAAATGTCTTTAGGCTAGGAATAAGGGCGATGAGAAAGGGATTAGACATCCAAGTGGTGAATGTTATTCATTTGTCACCTTTTGCTGTCAAAAGTACCTGTGTCGTTTGGATCCAGCACTGACGGGAACTCAGTTCTGCCAGGCTTCGTGGTTGCACAACCTTCCAATATTCGAGGTCTAGGCTTACACACATGAAGGCTTCTGGAGGGTGCTGACTCTGGCAGGAATGGGACGTCGAGTAGATTATTAAAAGTGGATTTGGATGGGGTAGGCGATAGAAATCAAAAACCAAACCAAACCAAACCAAACTACCCACTTCTGGTGTTAGTGGGAGCTGGGCACCCGAACTGCTCCCAGGAAGTAGATTCTCATTTAACCATTTCAATGAAAATGCGTGCCTCAAAACTTTATCTCCATTTTAAATTTAACCTTGAGCAGCTAGGCATCACAACACTCTGAAAACCCAGCATCTAAAAAGAGGGGCAAAGGGCATTGCACAGAAATTGCACATACTTCCCCCCCCACCCCCACCCCCCAACCAGTGGTGCGAGCGCGCCTGGGAGACCCCAGTCCTATGATATCAATACCCCCTCAGTGACCACCCCAATCCCTCCACAACATCCTGCTGTTTCTGAATTCTGGGTACACCCACAAAACCTCAAAACTATCATGTAGTCCCCCCTAGCCACAACTAATCCCCAAGCAGTAAGCAACATACCAGTTCTTGGAGTGCAGCAGTCCACATACAAAAAGCAACCAAGCCAGTCCATTTGATTGGGAAAATTAAATGCCAAATCAGGACAAAGTACCAATATCCTTCCCAAAATGAATCCCACCTGCTCCTAATCACTTTTTCCCCCAACTTGAAAATCCCACCTACCATAATCATTAGGGTTAACAACACAAGACAACTCATTCTTTTCCTGAAATCATGACATATCGGTTCAGTCTACATCTCATTTCACCAACGTACATTACTTCGTCTCTTTACCTGCAAGACTTAATTTAGAAACAGACCATTCGGGCCATCTTCCACAGCTAACAAGGAAATACTTACACAGTAGCTCTTCAACCTGATGAAGTCAATGGTCATTGGGAGCGACTCTTCCTGGTTCCTATTTAGCGCCTTGATGTAGTCCAAAAGGTCAGCAAAGAACTTGTAACCTCCCTTCAGCACGCAGAGGACAACAATGTGATCACCTCCCATTTCCTTTGCTATATCTCTGGCCATGCGTTCTGTCCTGAGAAAACAAATAATAGCTAGTGCATCTTCAGATAGAATCCAGAATGCCATAGCTTTCCTAAGGTTTCACAGAAAAATGCCATTCAACTAGTCATGTTGGTGCAGATTAAAAAGTTAAAAAACGACCCTTTCTCATTCCACATTCCTGATCGCGGTCTGCAGTTTTGCAGGTTACAGCACTTCAGGTGCAGATTCACAGAAACATTCATATGCAGAGGGAAGCCACTTGGTCCATCTTGCCACAGCAGTTCTATTACACGGTGCCTGTTTCCTGACTTTTCCCTATAATCACTGAACACCATTTCTATTCAAACAATCATCCAACACCCTCTTGAATACTTCAACTAAATCTGCCTCCTCCACATTTCTGGCCAGGGTATTCCATACCCGAATGACTCACTGTGAGAAAAGCTTTATTTTTCGTAACACCCTTGTTTCTTTTGCACATTATTTAAAATCTATGTCCTCGCATTCTTAGGTCATTACAAATAGAAACAGGAGGATGCCATTTGGCCCCTCAGGCCCACTGTGACATTCAATGGGATCATGACTGATGCAACTTTCCTCATGGGCACTTTCCTGCCTTTTACCTGTAACCCTCTATTCCCTGACTGCACAAGGATCTAACTCATTCATAAATATACACAAAGATCTAACTCATTCATAAATATACACAAAGGACTTTGCCCCCACAGCTGTGTGCAGCGTGCATGCATGGAAGAAAAAAAAAAGTTCCACAGACTCAACACTCAAAAGAAATTCATCCTCATCTCAGTCATTAATTGTTGGTTCCTTTAGCGAGTCGAGTGGGAACAGTTTCTTCCTACCTACTCTATCCAATGCAGATCCAGATCCTTTTAAAAAGGGCTAAGGCCACCATAATCAGAAATGATAGTAACACATCACTTTATAAGTAGAGCTATCCAAACAGTTTAATTCTTCCAATCTTTCCCATTTCTGGCTATGTAAACAGTTGTCAGGGAAATATTAACTTCAATAACGCTTTAAACGTTTTGAATGAGTACTGTGTGACATTACGGTTCTGAGGAAGGATCACTGGACCTGAAACCTTAACTGACTTCTTTCCACAGAAGCTGCCAGACCTGCTGAGCTTTTCCAGCAATTTGTTTGTGTTTCTGATTTCCAGCATCAGCAGTTCTTTCAATTTTTATAAAATCCAGTACATCAGCTAGAAGACCAGCATTGTGATTCCACTTTATAATGATAAAGCTAATGGCAGTTTGAATTCTATGGTTGTCTCCAGTTTCCTGGAAATGTGTTCATTCCTGAAGCCTCTCTGGTGATGCCTGCAGTAGACAGAGCACAAGAGCAAGGGAACACAAACTCCGTAAGAGACAGAGTTTGACCAACCCAGCAATCTGTGTGTTAACCTTGCCCTGTTGTTGCAGTATTTGGACTCTTTCCTGGTTTTCCTTTTTGCTGTTTAAGCATTCTTTACCTGTCTGACAATTGGTAATTTGAAGTTATCATTGGGGACCAAGGGGAGGTCCTTTACATTTGCAGCAAATACTCTATTGCGACAAAATGGAGAGATTCTGTTCAGTGGCAAAAGATGGAGATTCTCTCTAGTGCTCCAGGTGTACCTACCTGCCCAGCTTCGTCCAGCTCAAAAGGTACTCCCAGTTTATCAAAAAAGCCTTGTTGATCTCTTTTGCTTGCTAATCTTACTTTATTCTGCTGTTTGTAGTGGGGGAACTTTTAGAATGTCTTTAAACATTAACTGCCTTTTCTCCTTGTGGACTTAAACTGTATTGCTGCTTTTGTTCTTTTGTTTAAAACCAGAAAAAATAACTTCAGCTACATTGTAGTAATTGTTTGTGCAATACGCAATACAAGTGAGGTCAAGTGGATTCTCTTACTTGAAGTTTATTTGCAGCTAAAACCCTAACCCAATCACAGTTAAAAAGCAAAAAAAAACTGTGAATCAGGAATGAAAAAACAGAAGTTGCCGGAAAAGCTCAGCAGGTCTAGCAGCATCTGTGAAGAAAAAAAAATTCAGTGTTAACGTTTCGGGTCCAGTGACCCTTTCTCAGAACTGATGATAGCTGGGAAAGTCGGTTTATATGCAGAAAATAGGGAGGGTGGGGGAGCGGGGAAAATGGGGTAGGGAGTAAGCGATAGAATAGAGCCCGAAGAGAGAGAACAGCAGTTGTATAGATAAAAGGAGGAGTTGATAACAATCTGGCTAAGTGGTTGAGCAGTTGTTAAATGGAGACAGTAAGTGACTAACAATAGGTAGTGTGTAGTGGCAGGCTGAGAGATGACACGGCCTGGTGTGTGGAGTAGCAGGCTAGGACCTGGTAGAGTTTAGGCCCGAAAATTATTGAACTCAATATGGAGACCAGAGAGCTGCAGGGTCCATAGTGGAAAATGAGGTGTTGCTCTTCTAGCTTGCATTGAGCTTCGCTGGAGCACTGCAACAAGCGAGGTTGGCCAAGGAACAGAGTGGTGCATTAAAGTGGCAAGCAACAGGATTTTTTTTGTGAGCAGAACGTAGATGTTCAGCGAAACGGTCACCTAGTCTACGCTTCATTTCCCCAACGTAGAGGAGACCACATTGTGAGCAGCGAATGCAGTAGACTAGATTCTGGGAAGTGCAGGTCCAGGCCTACATGCTGAGGAACACACTAAAGTTTGGGGCAACTGCAAGGTACAAGGTACCATCTAAGATCTTGCTGCCAAAGTTAAATGGAGTTCCAAACACAGAAGTTGCTAAAAAGCTCAGCAGGTTTGGCAGCATCTGTGAAGAAACTGCGGCACAGTGGTCAGCACTGCTGCCTCACAGTGCCAGGTTCAATTCCACCCTCGGGTGACCGTCTGTGTGGAGTTTGCATGTTCGCCCCGTATCTGCGCGAGTTTCCTCTGGGTGCTCCGGTTTCCTCCCACAGTCCAAAGATGTGCAGGTTAGGTGGATTGGCCATGCTAAATTGCCCGTAGTGTTCAGGGATGTGTAGATTAGGTGGGTTATAGGGGGATGTGGGTCTGAGTGTGATGCCCTGAAGGTCGGTGTGGACTTGTTAGGCTGAAGGGCCTGTTTCCACACTGTGGGGATTCTATGGTTCTAAAAATCAGAGTTGATATTTCAGGTCCGGTGACCCTTCCTCAGTTGTGTTCACGGTTCTGTCCTGAAGGCAAATCCACGTCCCAGATCTGGCAAACTTCCACTTATTCTCAGTGAGTGCGTGCCCAAAATAAGTGAAATTTCAACCACAGTTTCAGCCCTGCTGCTAAAAATAAACCTTAAATGATACATACGCACACAGCTGGTTACAGTCCAATTGACTGTGCCAGTAACCAAAAGCATAAGTGCTTTGTTAAAACTGATCTCCATTAAATATTCTTTTAGGGATTTAAATCCAGGATTCTCAATGATATATCTTAATAAAATCAATTCAAACCTCACTCTCACCTTTGCTGTTCCTGTTTTTCCTCATGCCTCTGAACTTAAGTTTGAATGCTAAAACATTATCCAATAAGACAACAAGTCCTATTAAACCAGTAGTTACTTAATTCTTATTTCACACCCGAAGTATAAACTAGTGTTCTGATAAAGGTCAAGGACTGAAGGGAGATAGCCTAACATTGCATGCAGCTATTCCAGACCATTTTTGAATTAATTATTTTAACTTCATGCCGAGGACAGTTACAATCATCACAGTTTGACAACACATTTTAGGCCCGCATCTAGGAAGGGGAACACTGTCACTGGCGAGTTCCCCAGTTCACTATTATGCAGAGTCAAACTCCTGGAACTTCCCCTCCAATAGCATTTCAGTGGTGAGAGGGGCACTACCTGTGAGATCCTTCACATATGCCCAGTTGATCTGTGCCACCACATGCTGCCCGCAAAGCAGTTGTGGGGGTGTTGAGACTGTCACACATCTCCTGCCCAAGTGTGCCTTTGCACAGGAAGTCTGGAGAAAGATGCAATAGCGTGTGTCTAGGTTTATCGCAAGCAGCTCCGTGATGCAGGATTCTGCGCTCATCCAAGCTGTTGCCCGAGACACACACAGATTTTTGCAACAATAGACAACAGTTTCATGGTCATCGTTAGACCATTAGTGACTCATTTTTATTGAATTCCACCATCTGCTGTGGTGGGATTCAAACCTAAAGTATCTGTAACATTACTTGGCTTTCTGGATTACAAGTTCAGTGACAACACTGGTTGGGTCATGTAAATGTCAGAGGCAAAGCAGTTTCTACTTGACGGGTTCACCACTTTGAGCAATGGTCCTTTAAAGTTTAAGGAGATTTGTTACTTGCGCTATGGATGAGGTTGTAGACTTGCTCGCTGAGCCGGTGTGTTTGGTTGCAGACGTTTCATCACCCTGCTAGGTAACATCGTCAGTGCACCTCCGGTGAAGTGTTGGTGTTCTGTCCCACTTGTTATTTGTATGCCTCCGTTTGCTGGGGTGGTTGGCATCACTTCGGTTCTGTTTTACTGTAGTTTGTATAAATCGGGTCCAGTTCAATGTGTTTGTTGATGGAGTTCCAGTTGGAATGCCAGGTCTCCAGGAATTCTCTGGTGTATCTGTTTGGCTTGTGCTATTATGGATGTGTTGTCCCAGTTGAATTCATGTCCTTTGTCTGTGTATCGAGACGAATGAGAATGGGTCGTGTCTTAGTGGCTAGTTGGTGTTCATGTGTCCTTATTGTCAGTTTTCTTCCAGTTTAGCCTATGTAATTTTTTTAACGTCCTCGCATGGGATTTTGTATATTACATTAATTTTGTTGGTTGTGGGTACGGGATCCTTTACATTCATCAGTAGCTGTCACAAGGTGGTTATTGGTTTGTGGGCTACCCTGATACCTACGGGTCTGAGTAGTCTTGTGGTCATCTCTGATAGGTCTCTGATGTACAGTAGGATGACTAGTGTGTCTGGCCGTGGTGTGTCTTCTTGTTGTGGTCTCTCATGGAGGGCATGGTGGATTGTGCTTTTTGGGTATCCATTCTTTTCAAAAACACAGTTTAAA